ATACACAGTTAAGTTTTGTTTGTAAAATTAACATGTTTAATAGCATGTAAGTTTTAGTTGGAAATCAAACTAGAGTCTGTGGAAATATGGTCAAGACTGACAGCATCTTTGCCTTGAAAGGGGAAGGCTAAAAAGGTATGTTTTGTTGTGTCAGTTACATGTTCAAATAATTTTTACTGTATAACAGCCCCTCAATATTTATTTTTATTTATGCACCTCAAATGCCCCCCAGATGTTTTGAGATATTTAATCTACATGGAGTTCTGTTCCTCCTTCTTTTATCTTTATTTAATATGCACAACTTTTACTTCTGACATGAAGTGCCTTTCCTTGTTGTCAATAAGAAGAGTCTCTCCAGTCTAAAAATTGTTGGCAAAGCCTGGCCTATGGTATTAATTTGACAGCCTGCCTAGAAACCTTCTCTGTTCTTACACCTTTTTCCTTCAAAGCTTTAGCAGGGTTTGACTTTTAATCCCTTAAGTTGCTTTTTGTTTCGTTTTGTTTTAAATACTCGCCTAGCCTACATTTTTTTATACTAAGCATCTTCCATAGGTCTAATCTTCCTGTCTGTAGTGTTCATGGCTCTTAAGGGGTACTGGCATTACCCATCCCTCTAAAGTATCTTGGAGGGACCAATTACCATCCTCACATATACTTGCCTTAACATCCTTTTCTCTTTGCAAACTACTTAGTTGCTTTCCTTAATTTATCTGTCTTTGGCCCATTGACCACCAAATAACTGTTGAATTTTCTTTTCTTGTATGTGAATTCAGATAAACTTGTTGCACGTTAACAGCACATTTTTCAGCTAAGTCTGCCCTCCTTGCACATCTGTAGTAAGTGTGTAATCTGCTTATGATCTGTTAAAAAATTCTGCCATGAGGGTGTTCCTTTGAGTTGTGTTAGTCTGCCACAAAGAGACATGATTACTTTTATGTGTTAGTAGTCCCTGAACTGGGGGTTTTGAGCTTCTCAATGGATTTTCTATGATTAGAGATGGAAATAGTCTTAAAAACTGCAGGGCAACTTAAAATGAGAAGTTTATGTAATGCTGTACTGCATACAGCATAGCAGATCAGCATGCTCTACAGCAGCCTCTCTCTTTGTCTAAACCTTGAGTTTCTAATTGCAGTAAAGAAAGGACTGTAGGATAGATCAAAGGTACGTAGTAGTAGTGGCAAGAAGGAAAAAAGTTGGCAAGCGTGCAGATAGGAGTAGCCATTGCCCCTTAATATCTCTCTCTCCCTGTGTTCATTCTTCCTTCCTCATGGATTTTGTTAGTGAACTGGGAGACAGAACAACTAATGTACTGCAAGAGCCTCCTCTTCTTCCTCATCCTCCCAGAGGGGAGTGAAGAAGGAGTTATGTGAGGCTGGGATTAAACCACCATGAACTATTAGTTACAAAGCGTATGTTGTGTCATAAAGGATAATAGAGAAGTAAGAGCTTTCTTCCATCTTCTGGCTGAATATTATTCACTGGTTTATTCTACCTCACACTTGAGTGTAAATGTAGCTTTCTGTAATCAAATTAGTACTTTTCTGTGTAAACACATAGGGAAGGTATTCAGAACTTAGACTCTTAACTACCACAATGCTCAAAAATAAGCAAAATGAATTTTTGTAATAACAAGGGGTCTTGTGGTGGTTCCTTTACAAGACAATTTTGGTTATATCAGAGAGCACAAAGTGGCTGTCATGGAGCCTGACTGGATGTTGTCTGAGTTGCCTATTGTTTGTGAGTTCTCCAGAGTACTGAAGGAGAATGTTGAAGTGTTAGTAAAGATTACATGACTCCTTTTGGCTTCTGTCCTGTTTCAGACGGATCTTCACGAAGATAGTGCAAGTGAATTTTCAGTTCACAATTGCCATGGTCCTCAGTAGGAGCTAAAACTTCGCTGAGTGTTAGCATTCATCAGAGCTACGAGTTATTGCTGCTCAGTTATCTAACTCTGTTGTTGGACACTAAAAATCAGAAAACAGTCTGTTTCTCTCTGCACAGTAATCTGAAAGCCATTCAGGCCAACCTGAACTGAGCTGCCAGTGAAAAGGCTGGTACTGCCGGGCTCTTCCTGGCAGGGCCAGTAGTGGCTGCCTCTGCTGACGAGATGGCTGGTGCCCACATGAGACAGTTCTGTCTCAGTGCAGGGAAAGGGACTGTACAGAATCCCAGAGCTACTTCTGCAGTAAAATCTACCTTTTGTGCCATGGGTTTAACCCAGGACCCTGTGAGGTCAGCAAAGCGGTTTGCTCAGGGCTTAGAGGAAGGTCTCCTTGCTGGTGTCTGTGTTACCTTTAAATGCTGTGTTTAAATAAAGGTATGACAGAGAGTGAGCCTTGCTGAGAGTGGCAGGGCTGGCGGTGTCCTGTTTTGGGCTGGTGAAGCTCTGTGAAACAAGGTGGCACGGAGGTGCTGCCCTCAGGGCTGCTGTTTCTCGACTGTGGAGCAGGGCTGGCATCCCTCCTCCAGCCAGTCTGGGAAGGGAACTGGTGATGGCAGTGGGCCCTGCCTAAAAAAAGAGAACAATTAGCCTTTACAAAGGGAGAGGGAAGGTGTTGGGAAAGTATGTCCTAAGAGGGGATGAGCTGCTTTGTTTTTTTCCTTTCTGTAGTCCTTTACATAGAAGAAATTTGTCCAAAGCAAGAGGGGTCTGTGGCTCTTCTCTCTTCACCTTCTGTGCCAGAGCCCTGTAGAGGATCCCCTTGGTTACAGACTGCTAAGACGTGCCTCTATTTGACTATTGATTGTGAGTGTTTATTGTTGCCATACTGTTTCCTTATAGAGGTGGTGAAAAAAGACTAGACCTGAGAAAAACACAGGAAGGGAAGAGAGAAGAAAAAAACAATATAACTAAAAAAATATTGATCTTAATTGCTGTTTATCTTCATATGCTAAGTAAAAAGCACACTTACACTGAAAACCACTATAAAGGTAAACAAATGTTCCCTGTAGCAGGTTGAAGTAAAAAGGTATATTGATGTTATGTTTTGAGAGAATTTGGAGTGTTTAACAGATTTATTTTTTTAATTAGCTTTCTGTTACTTGGAAATTATTTCCTCACTTCCTAAGATTAGGGAAAAAAGCACTATATTAATTTTGCACTTTGCATTTTTTAGTTAGTACTTTTCTCTCAATGTAAAAACTGATAACCAGTGATAAAAATTTCACTGCAAGAATTTTCCTTTATCTTAGCAAGTAGGAATAGTCTTAAATACTAGTATAGTGCATCATGCTAAACGGAATGACAGCTGAGAGAACTGTTACTGGCAGTTCTCATATACTGCATCTCCTTACTTGTACCCATGAGCTGGAGAGTGACTCTGTTGCCTGATGAGCTTCTTCAGAGTGTTGACAGAAATATGTCACTTCTTCAGACAAATGCTGGCCAGTGCCCATGCCTTACTTGGAAAATGCCAGGAGTGGATGTAGCTCTCTAGGTGGGAAGGAAGTGAAGTGATGCAGAAAACAGTGTCAGCTTTCAGTATCCCGTTCTGCTATTTTATTGAACAAGTCCTGCTTTCTGGTCACGTATAAGCATCGAGTGAAGACTAAGGTTCTGACTCCTGGATTCAGTTTTGCCACAGTATGACTCAGGAACAACAATTAAACCAGTGACAATAATGCCCTTAATGCCCTCCCCCTACCACCCAGGAAGGGAAGGAGAGAGAAGAATAGGAGAGAGACTTTCCAGATTGAAAACCAATCTATATATACAGCTTTAATTAAATACTACTAATAAAAGAAAATATGTACAAATACAGGTATGTGCTGGAATGTGAAAAATCCTATTGCCTCCCCCACCCCTAGCAACCCCCCTGGCATCTCCTGAGCTGTGAGCAGTTCCAAAATGTCCTAGAGCTGCTGGAGAGAGCAGCAGAGCAGACAGGAGCTGAGGGGAGAGTTCTGAGGGTCAGGAATGCACAGGCCTGGTGATCAACAGTGATGGACAGATGGAGTCCTCCCTGGATGGTGGCCATGGACTGAAGAGAAGGGAAGAAGAAGAAGGAAGGGAGGGGCTTGACTTCCGTGATCCCTGAATTATATATGGTGTGGAACACTCTCTGGCCAACTTTGCTGTCTGCCTAGTCTGCTCCTCCCTACAGGAGGATTGCAGATAAGGCTCTTCTGCTCCTTTAGTGTCTGAGGCCACAGATTCAGAAAGCAGAGCAAAGTGTCCTTGGTCTCTTGGCAGTAACATAAACATTCCAGCATGATCAGCTCACTAGCTGCAAAACTTGCTGCTAGTTAAAAGAGAGCTCCCTGAAGGGGGAAAAAAAAAAAAAAAAAGAAAAATCAGTAAAAAAAATTGGGCTCATCCTGGCTCAACCCAGGCAAGTTTAAATACAGAATATAATTGCATGTGGGTTGCTTCTTATAGCGCCCTACGTTTTTTTTCTTTGTACATGTGCTCTGAAAGTCATTAGGCAGGTATGATCCTGAGAGTAATATGAGAACCAGATAGGAGATATTGTCACTTCATACAATTATTAATGAAAGATTTTAAAAAGAAATTGCAAGCTTTTGAAAATAAAACATAACTACATGCTTCCATATTTTTGACAAATGGAAAACATTTGGTAAGTTATGAATATATATGACTTTATAAAAAGTTTTAGACTTTATAGAGTGTTATAATTTGAATTCACCTGAAGATTACATGTGATTTCTGTGGATGTAAGCTGTCTTGCAACTATTGCAATTTAGAAAACCCTGAACATTTGTCTTTTGCAATTTTAAGAATATAGTTTATGCTATACGTTTGCCTAATGCAGAGTTCCCATTACCACAAAACTGTCTTTTTGCCGAATGGCATATGCACGTATTTCATGAAGTGTTCTACAGCTTTGTAGAAACTAGGGCAAGTTCTGTAAATAGAAAATGTCAGATAATTATTCAGAATTTATTTTTTTTATGCCACAAAATAACAGATTTTTTTTCTGCAGTGGATGATTTTCTGAGAAATCTCTAGTAACACTGATTATCTGTCATTTCATCTACAGGTACATATATGTTCCAATGGGAGGATCTCAGTCCAGTCTGTTAGGAATGCTCTTTTCCACGGCCCTCACTTTTGCCTTTGTAAGCTATTGGCACGGAGGACAGAGTTATCTGTGGTACTGGGGTGCACTTAACTGGCTTGGAGTCATTGTGGAAAGCGGTGTCAAGAGGATACTTTCTATTTCACTTATTCAAGATTTAATTGTAAGTTGAATCTCTCTTCATTTCTTGTTTCATGGCTCCATGCTCATCTGAAGTTTGTGGTTACTAGTTTGATGTAATCTAGATTAATAGAGTGAGTAACAGATAAGAAAGTTAGCATCCCTTGCCCACCCTCCAGTATTGAGGTAAGCCATACAGCTAGGACTTCACCAAGTATCAGCAAAGCAAACGCTGAAAGTCTTAAAAGCTTCCCCTGTGGTCCTAGAGTAAGCAGCTGCTTGTCACATTGTATATGGCTGAACAGAAGCCAGTTCTAACGTTTGGATTCTGATTTCACTCAGGGTGGCCTTAAAATATTCATCTTCACTAAAATTAGGAGTGTATATTTCTAACCGTGTGTGTACCAGCTGGTTGCATCTGGGAACACGTCTGCACTGGGAAATCTTATTCAGCTAAAGAGCCAAATATTATTTTGCCTTGAAAAATATGATCTCTTCACTTACGCTTTTGACCTTCATACTGTCATCTCCACAGGACAGAATTGTCTTTGACATGCGATCATATGCAAAAAGCACTGTTTTAATGTTGATGGCCGTTTTAGTCTGTGGGTTTGCTCACTGTTCAATCCCCAGTCTTCTAATAACTGTTTGTAAGAATAGATAATTCCCATGTCTTGCTTCCTTACTAGTCATAAGTGCACAGAACTTATATTCCTGTATAATGTTCTGGTGGTGGCGACTCACTCTGCAGCTTGATGAAGTCCTGACGCTCAAGTCATTGTGCTTTTTCTCCATTCCACCCATCTTGGTTTTCACTGTTGTGGCATCCCAGGCGTTGCAACTTATACAGCTGATTAATTTACTAGCCAATAACAGCCAGTGCTACCTTATATTATCCAATTGTCCATCACTGCAAATTCAGTGACAGTCTGGAAGCAGCTTCTTTTCCTTTTTAGAGAATGAGTTATCAGATCCATTAATCCTCCTGCTAGGATGACACTGAGCTTCACCATCTGACCGGCTGTGTACTTTTCTGTGGGCTGGAAGACAAAGTCGTTTTTTAGGCATCCATCTGTGAGAGGGAATATAAGCATAAGGGCTTTTTGTATGTGATGTCACTGTATTAGAAATTTTACTCTTAAGTTACTGTAAAGTTGAAGAGTTAAGTGCTTAAATACCATAGAAATTATAGGGACAAGGCATTATGAAGGTGGGATTATACATGTTGGATTAATTTCTAACATGTAATTCTGATTGTAGTTAACTGATGCTGGCAGAAGGGTTGTTTTTTTGGTTTTTTTTGTTTGTTTTTTTTGTATAACTCCCCGTCGGTGAACATCCCCTTTGTTTTCATCCAGTGTTTTTAAAGGCCTATCTAGTGCCTTCCATGTCTCCCTTGTTTTCCATTTTTGTTTGGAAACATGGCTGTAGATCTTCCATCTTTTATGTAAATATTTCTGAAGCCAATATTTTTTATATTTCTAGTTTTGGCATGTGAATTAGTGTGTTAGGCAGATCTTGTTGCAGTTTGTATGACTGAATCATGCTTTGCTTTGTGCCTGGAAGCTTTCTCCACAACAAGAGCTACAGTCTTTGTAAACTACCCCTAATTGCTCTCTTCTCACTCTTCCAACTAACTCCCATTTTTTTTCTTGAATACTGAGACTGGGGAGCAGGTGAATACTTGGACTTTGACCCTTCGTTGTTAAGGGATGGAGTGATAGGACATTCTCTTAAGACCTATCCCTTACATTTAAAATGAACTGCAAATTCCCTAACACCCTGTATGAATTTATTTTTTTCTTTTATAATCTGCCTTTTGGAAGCATTGTGATAAACCTGTCTCAGTGAGAGGTGTTGAGAACCCTGTTCTGATGCATGGGTTTTTCACTTAAATTTCATCTGTTGACAAGTTGAAAACCTTTGCATTCTTGTGCTTCAGTCACTTGCTGTGTTGGCTCTTGGAGGTGATTCTTGAAAAGGAAAGTCTGTTTTAGTCCCCAGAAGAGCAGATGAGTTTATGGGGGGGGAAGGCAAAAAGAAAAAGCAGATGTTTATGTTGGTTTTGACCCATTCTATTTATCAAACCTTCTCATATATTGTTATTAAAGTTGAGTTACATAATTTAGGTGTTTAATTAGTAAAATCAAAAAAATCCCCTGAAAAATAAGTTTAATATTATTTCTACTCTTTTTAAAATTGAATTGATCAAAAAGAATAACAAGGCCTATATCAAAATTGCTACCCTTTTTTTCCCCCACTGTATTGTCTTATGTCTCTTGCAAAAGAAAGATTTAAAAATCTAAATAAAACACATTTGAGTCTCATCCTTCGTGGATTCCTTGTGCTGACTAAGAATACATATAAAAAGAATTGGTTCCTATATTTATGCAGATTTTATGGCAGTTTAAATCTCAGCCCTTGAAAACTAGCACAATATGGGTAAATAACACTTTTGTAGCAATCTGACAGGTTTTAAATGTCACTTCAGGCATATTGAACTAGAACAAACAAAGAAGCATGGACATGATTTGCGAGAAGTAAAATCAGCACATAAATATTTACAGAAAACAGTAAACTTCCTGACCCAAAAAAATTTATCTGAAACTTTTCCCTTGTTCTATTTGCAAACCAGTGCCTGGGTTTCTGATTTCAGCTCTAAAAGAGCTGAAGCTCCTTCTTATGTACTTCTCAGTGCTCTGAACATTCATGTTTTGGTGAGTTGTGTTGTGTGACGTTATCTACATATGTATATTTTTTCTCCCTGGAGATAACTTCTTAGATATCAGTAAATAAGAGGTGAATTAAGTAATGCTGTCTTTTCACTAAAGCATTATCCATAAAACATCAATAAATGCTATGCACCATAGGGAACTTTATGTTAAACCAGAAAAGTTTAATTGTGTCTTATCAATTCTTTTTTTACTTTTTCAGGACATATTTAGACCCATACTGCATAAAACAGTCTTCTGCTTCACTGATTCTATATTAATTTCTTACAGATTAATAGAAATTCAAGTAGTAACTCATTCAAAATAAATGGCAGAATTTGTATTGACTTTTAATAAATGACAGATTTCGGAAAGAAAATGCTAATGGCTATCATTCATCTGTGATTTATAGTTTTTCCTACAGAAAGCAAGATCTAGATCTCTACAAGAAATTAGATCTTGATCTAAAAACAGATTTAGAATTATTTAAACCTTAGAATAGCTGCCAGCATCTTTAAATGAAGAGATTTTTTAAAAAAGAAGTATTTGGAAATCCAGAAAAATAAACACAGGAGATGAAGTTGGTAGATTGCTAAAAGTAATGTTTCGGTCTGAATTGAAACAGCAACAGTGCTTTAGTTCTTCAGTAGAGAGAAAATGTGTCTTTCAGTCTAGTAATAAATTTTTAATTGAGACACAGAATCACAACATTGTTCTGGTTGGAAAAGACCTTTGAGATCATTGAGTGCAACCATTAGCCTAACTACTGAGTCCAATGCTAAACCCTTAGCACCACATCTCTCTTTAAAAAATCATGCTATGAAGAATTTCTTGTTTAGGATCTTATTTCTAGCTTTATTTTGTAAAAAAATTAAACACACCATAAACAATTCAATTTGAGAAACCAACTGATTTTTTAAGAATGGCTTATTTTAAAGTAATTTATACTATCCTTGTAAGTTTTTTGAAGTATAAAATACTGTAATTTCTGTGTTTCATTCATTTAGGTGCACTAATTAAGTCTATTGCAGTGCATTGTGATTTTAGACTTCTCTTTGCAAAAGGGGAAATGTTTTGTGTGGTGTTCTTGGTCTTGGGCAGTGTATTAGATTAGATTTGATTAGTGTGTTAGATTTATTTTTTTCTTCCCTAGGTGAATTAACTCACTCCATTTGTCTATATAGTTAAAATATCACAAGTGTTTGGGGTATTTAAGATGTGGTCAATGACAGCTGACATCCTTAGCTTCACAGAGAACAGAATTTAGATGTGTTTCAAAAAGTTGTGTGGTGAGGGCTTTTTTTGTTTTTTGTCTCTGTTTTAATTTTGTTTGCCCTGTTTCTTCTGCTAGGTGCATTGAAATTTTTAGTTATTCATAGTAAGCTGTGCTTTATGCAGTGACCCTGCAGACAGCTGGTGTGGAGCTTGGAAAGGTGCTGACTGGTGAGCCTGACCTCTGAGCTGTGGTTCAACAGGGAATTAAGCTGATCTAACAGCTCACAGCTGTTGAAGGGGGAAAGGTTTCATTGCCCTTCCCTCCCTTCAGTCTCACCACTTCCTCCTCTGCATGCACTCCTGATGCAATCTTTGCTAAGCTGACCTAACTCTTTACCCCAGCAGAGAGCTTTACTTCCTCTGGCTACTTTATTGCTAGATGATTTGTCTCACGGAGAGGAATCTGAAAAGCACCCAGTATAAGAGACAAAAGACAAGGAAAGGAAGTGGAAAATGAGGAGCTTGATGTCTGGGAACCTCCCCCTTGCAGACATGCTTCAGCAGTTTGGGGTAGTAGGCTGACCCTCCGTATTTAAAGTCTGTGGGACAATAAAACCAGTTGGGTTATGCTGCAGTAATTACAGACAGAATTTCTTTTTGCAAGTATAACTCACTTTAAACTACTGAGGTAACTGTAAAGCTTCCTTCTGCAGCTGACTGAGGCAAAATCTGATGAAACATCAGGAACTTGTGCAAGGGAAGTATGTTTGTTGACCACCTTGCAAGATTAGATCTTTAATAAGATCTCTGTAATAAATAAAGACTCTTCTCAGCTGTTCTTCAGTGCACTTTAGGCTTTGATCTTTATTTCGCTTCATTTAGTGGAAATAATGTTTATGTCACTGGTTAACAAAATGTAAAGCTGCCTGGCCTTTTCTTTTTTTTGCAACGTGGTGATTCAATTAAATGGTAAGCATTGCCAGTAATATTTCCTTCATAACCTTTTCATGTGTTTGCTCTAGACTTCTCTTGGCTTTGTCACTTCATTCCTTGAGAACCTGTAAGAATGTAAGGTGGGGTAGCTGAACAAAGTTCCTTAATCAGACATCTGTTTTCT